TCATGCCCATCCTCACCCTCAGAAACACACTGGTCACAGTGCTGTTTAGCCTGGTCCTGAAGGTTTAGGGCTTCAAATTTACCTATTAAAATGCAAATGGCCTTGGCTGAGCTAAGACCTTCTGTCCTTATCTGCTAACAGTCTAAAGGGATTCTTTTCAGAGAAGGCTGTTTCCATTTTTTAACTGTGTAATTCTGTGAGGAAGCATAAAATAAACTGGCCTACACTACATTTGGCTGGAGGGCTGACTACAAGATGGGTTTCTCTGTCTCAAAGCATGCCTGGGAACCACCCCGGGCCCCCAGAGAGCAACTCCCCCGAGCCCCCCCAGCCCGCTCTGAGAGTGAGCGGCCGTCTGCTCCCCCGGCCCACCTGGCCTGTGTGTGCAGGCTGCATCCTTGGACCAGGTGTGCCCCCGGGGGTCCACCAGTGGTCTTTCCAACTTTTTCCCAAGGACGTGCAGGAGGATCTGTCCCTGATGCTCTCAAGTCCAAAGGCTCCTTACAAAATAATGACACAGTAAGTCACATACACAGCTTTACTGTCTGCCAGCCTCTCTAAACCTTTCACTACCTCAATTCATTTAATACTCAACAACAACAGGTACTATTGCCAGATCCATTTTGCTGAGATGGGGCTGAGGCACAGAGACACCGAGGAACTTACCAGGAGCCACACACACCATGAGTGATCTGAGCTGAGAATGAGAGTCCCTAGCCTGTTCAGAGCATGGACTTATAATCAGTGTTACACTTCATCTCTGTGAAATATGCATGGACAATAACTTAGTTTTATTCTTTAGGTTTTAAAATTTAATGCAATAATCTGACATTTTATAAAACTTTTTTTTTTTTTTTTTTTTACCACCACCGTTCCCTCTGAGACTCTTCCTTAGCAGGCTTATAATTCTGTTCTCCCCATTCTGAAGGAAAAGTCAGCTCACCTCAACTGATCTGTGTCTGTTCGAAGGCGGGAAGGCAAGTCTGAGGTCCTCTAGGTCTCTGGGCTGGAACACAGCATTTATAAGCAAAGCTCCTGGTCAGTTTGCTTGAGCACACCTCGTGGCTCAGACTGCTCCCTAACTGCAAGATGCCACAAAGATACTTCAACTGGAAAGTGAGTGGCTGGTTACGCATCTCAAAGACAGGCAGCGTGATACCCCAGATGCCCATGGTTGCCCATCATGCTCAGTCAGTGGTCCAGCCCTGGGGGATGTTGGGAGACCTATTCAAGGATTTTCTCTGTACAGTTTTAGGGGACATCCAAGAATTGTAAGACTAGTTAGGAAATCTTTTCCCCAGTGTACTGCACTTTTATGACCCTGTGCCTGACCCAGGTCCTTTGGCCACTGGCAACCTTTGATTGGATATCCGGTAGGACTCACCTATAAACAGATATTAGCTCTTGCTATACCACTGTATAAAATCCAAATACTATGGTCACCTTTAAGTTTGAGCAATAGTATGTTTTATTAAAATCAGTTACTGGAAATATATTTTGTGTCTGGTCTCCCTTCAAATCATTTCTGTGAAAAATCCCACTGATTGTCCCTTCCGTGTTAGAGAGAAGCAAGTCTCTAAAGATGGAAGGAAAAGACCATCTTTGGGATTCTATCCTGAAGTCTCATTTTTCTTTTTTCGGGGGGAAGAATCTCTGTCCATACCCAAACCTGTGGCTTCCATAACCCCTGTCCCCATCTCCTTGTCAGTGGGATCTATTTTGGGAACCCTGGGAGTTTACATTTGTTTCTTTTGGATCCACCCAAAGCAGGCAACTGCTCATGTCAAGACAAGAATAAAACAAGTAGTAAAACCACTGCCTTGATTGTGAAAATCCACGAGGCAGCCAGCACCCGCTGTTAAGTGGACAGACTCCCGTCCTGGTGGCAGAAGGAGCCGATGACCTCCTGGACCTTAAGAATCTGGATTAAAAGGCAAGCATCTCTCTCTCTTCTCTTTAGGCACATCTATGAAATATATGTAACGAATATGCAACCGTGCCAACAGTTCTGCGTGGCTATGGATTGAGATGCCATCTTGTGAACCCAAGAAAAGAAATTGTGGATAGAAGAGGAGGTTAACCTAGACCAGTGATTTTCCATCTGTGGGCTACAGATCCCTAGGAATGCATCCAGTCTTTCTGTGGGGCCTGGGAATATAGGTGCACTGTAAGCACATTGTGTAGATGGGCTGGATGGGCATTATATGCAAGTGGTTGTGAGCACAGGCTCATTAGCAAGACCACATAGTTTCAAATTTTAATTCCTCCACTTAGCAGGTGCATGCCTGGACAAGTCGCCCAACTTCCTTGTGTTTTAATTTCCTCGTTCTTTAACCACATGAAGTTGGTGGGACCAAAACAAATTAGTCACGTTTCATACTCAGCCCTGTACCTAGTCCTCAGGGGTGATCATCAGGCGCATCCACACCACAAGCAGACAGCTACTTGGCTCTCTCATCTTTTCACATCCAGTTTCATAGGGACCTTGCCTTGTGCTGGAGAACACAGAGAGGAAGAAGCCAATAAATTGGCCCTTCTGTCTGTTTTCAATTTTGGAGAAGGGTACCCAGGCCCCGAGACCCTATGGGCTGACCCCTCATCTGTCACCATGTCCCAAATCATGAAAGCTCCCATCCAAAGCCTTTCCCTCTGGATCCAGCTGCAGAGACAAACCATAGCTCCCAGGCCGCGTAGTTTGAGGACAGCCATTTGGGTTTCCCTTCTCTGCTGCTACAGCGTGAAACACAAATTAAGGTTTCCAAGAATCAACAATAGGTCAGATTTTGGGATAGAGATGCTCTATTTAGGAATACCCCAATTGTAAAGCTTGTGGAAAGAGGTGAGATTAAGGCCCAGTCTCCTGGCCTCAGTGAGACACTCGTTGATATGGACAGGCAGGATACACCAAATGAACAGCACACTCCACCCAGAGAGTGCATGTAAAATTCAGAGGACTTGGTTTTTGTATAAGACAAAGGATGTATGGGACTCAACCGGCGCATCAACCCATTAGTCCAGGGTGTCGATTCATTCCTCTCGGTACCTGTGGTTGTGTCCCGTGGGGATGATTTCTTCTTCCCGATGTTGACACTGCTGGTTTTGTAGTCATTTTTGGTTTTGTTTTAGGGGTGGATGCACAGGGTGGTTTGGTTTGTTTTATAAGCTTTAATGAACTGCTTTTGTTGAATCCACGAAATCTTGGCCCTCACCACTGCCAAAACACTACCTCCATTTCAAGGGCAGGCACCGAAGCAACGGCTTTAGGATGGTGCAGCAAATGAAAATGGTCTCTCTCACTCCAAAGCCTGTACTCTCGCCCCCTGGGAGACAGTACCTCTCAATGGGCCCCACTCTACCTCCCATTTAAGTAGGAGGCATTTGGACAACAGTGGAGTCTTAGGAGGAAGCTTTCAAAGAGACCATGTGAGTCCTGGGAAGGTGTTTGTCTCTGAAGGACAGTGTCATTGTAGGATCACTGCCCTGGGAGAAAGGAATATCCCATAAGTGCCCTGGACAAAGTCTCAACGAAGTGGTGAAGTACAGCTGTCTCTTCCAGGATCTTGCTCTTCAACCATTGCCTTCCAACAGCACCCTGAAAACGGCATCTACCCCACTTCTTTCACCTGCTCCCCACCCCCATCGAACAACTTCTTATGTTAATTCTTCCATTATCAGGCTCTCTTATCATGATAACAGAGATGAGTGAGATTGCTTACGTAAACTCTACTGGTTACCACAGGAAAGCAGGTGCCTGACTGCCTTAACCCAGTTGAAATGCATGAATCTCCTAAGTCTTTAATAAGCACTGGTAATAAAGGAGGGAAAGATATATTCATTGAGCCTCTTCTACATACCAGACGCTGTTCAGTGCACTTTACGTGTTTATTAACTTCTTACACCTCAAACTAAAGCCGTGATCTCAATGCCATTATTGTCCCGACGTTACAGGTAAACCGAATGATATAAATGCTGGGAGTATTTGAATTCAGATCTTTAAATACAAACAACTTGCCTTTTTCAAAATAACTTCCTGTTCTCTTTAAAGATCTGTCCCTAAACCATTGAGTGGCCTATAACCAGTCACCAGTCTTTCTTATCTGGAACTCTCCATTTATGAATCTTTGTAGCCCCCAGTTCTCTAATGCCACAGAGGCTGGAAGTTTTGGTTAGGTCTTCCTGCGGAGGAACTTTATGCTCAGTTCAGTAGACTTACTCCCGCAGTCTGTGAGGAAAAGCATGGTGAGACAGAATGGGGCCTTGCTTACCTCATACTGCCCTGCCTACTTCAGAGTTTTGGCAAGGACCAAATAGAATAAATACTGCCTGTGATAAAAGCCTCGTGAATGGTAATGACTATAGACATTTGTGGAGCTATCATCTCGATACCAAATCCAGGGGGCAGGTGACCAGCTCCGGCCTAGAGCTAAAACACGGAATAACTAGTCAAAGGGATTCTGGGGGGAGCAGAACAAGTGTGGGTTTAAAGGAGGAAGGGCGGCCATGCCGGAAGATTAGAAACATAAAAATGGATAAAAGCTGGGAAAGGAAATAAATTATAGAATAGACCCAGATCCCTGTAACTTATGGTCTAACACCTGTGTTGGGAGCTCCATCAAGACCCAGTGGAAGAGAAGGAGTCTGAAAATATCCCCAGTTTGGCTACTAAGATAATGGATCCTCAGGGAATAAGATGAAAACATGTGGATCAGTGGGCTCGTGGACCAGCAGGAAATTAGGTAACAAGAGGGATGGCGGCTCTGGAGAACCACAACTGAATTTCAGCACTTGCTGGCCTGGCACAGGAGGGCACTAGCAGGTAAATGTGAAATTGCCCAATTAGGCACCACTTTGACTATTATTGCCAGAGAAGGCAAACCGAGGTGCAGCTGATGAGTTAACCAGATATGATACAGAAAACATTTCCTTCTCCTTTTTGACTTCAAGTCTATTTTAAGGCTTCAAGTCTCCAGTCCAGTCGGCGCTTGGGAGCCATGGAGGAGATGCCTATTCCCAAGGGAGGCCCTGCTCTGCTGTGGATGGCATTGCTGCTCTTCTGTAAGTAGATGTTCAGTGACACCCCCCCCCCACCCCAGAGGGACCAAGATGGATCTGGGGAGCAGCTGGGGTAGGAACACGGACAGTTTTCATGGTGATTTTTTCTAAGCCACATGCAAACCACGGGGCATCTCCTGGGGATTCTGTAGTGGACACAAGCTGGAGAGCAGAGCAAATCAGACTGAGCAAGACTTAAGGGGGAGCGAGCCTGAAAACCTGTCCTTGCAATCACTCTGGCATCTCCCAGAGGGCATGGGAGGGAGGACAGAGGAAAGAGAGAAGTTTCTTCTCTCCAAGGGTCAGGTTCCTTAGAAGTTGCTTGGCCCTTAAAACTCCATGTAGACCTCATCACTGTACCCATATCTCTGTCCTTAGGAGTGCTAGAAGGCTGGCAGTAGCCACTAACTTTTCTCTTCTGGACTTTTGCAGCTCTAGAGGGCATGTCAGCAGGTGAGTCCTCTGTCCTTGCTCTGTCAGCCTCAACGTGGCTGGGCACAGCTACCCCCTCACTGTTTCTCTTCACCCCACCTCCTCTGCTTTCTAATGATTAGGCACCTTCCCTCCCCGTGCAACCTGAGTCCCACTTCCACCCTGCCTGTCTTCCTTCTTTCCCCCATTCCCAACAGCTTTAAAAGAACCGCCTCATTCTCTTGAGACACCCCACCTCTTTTTTTGCAACAACCATGTCTGTGGAACACCTAAACATCCAAGTGCCACCCAGGCACCACCACACAACGTCTTTCAGTTCCTACATCATCATCATCTTAGTACTGTCACCATTTTGCAGTTGAGGCCTTTGTCTAATTAAGTGCCTTGCTGGAGGTCTCACAGCTCGCCAAGGGCCAGCTTCTAACACAAGCCCCTTGGGTCCAAGTCTAGCTCTGTTTCTGCACCCTTCCTCATCGCCACCTGCCACTTCCTAGGCTTTGGTCAAATTTGTACCACATTTCTTTGTTCCTAAAAACCTATTAAGGCCGATTCTCTCAGCGCTTCTCACTTCCTTCCAGAACTGACGTGTGTTTTTCACTCCATATGCACTCACAGTTAAATAGTCATAAAAACTTAGAGCTGGGAAAGACTATGTTTCATCTAGTCCAACACATTTATTCATCCATTAGTCACATATTCATCCACTCAGTAAATATTTAATGAACACGTACTATGTACCAACCATTGTGCTGAGCTAGGGCTGAACATGACAGACATCGCCTCTGCCTTACCAGAGGCTGCAGTCCTCACTGGCTTGTTTGTTTTTTAATACCCCACACTCATGTCCTGTCTTTCCCTCTAGGTTGGGAGCTCCCTAGAGCTACGGTACTGTGTCTTCCTTCTGTAATCCTAGGAATCAGGACAGTTTCTTATTAACGGCAGTCCAAGGGTAGACTGACCACTCACTGACTCTTGCCATGTCTGTACTTTAGAGCCTGGACAGTTTTCTCTGCCCCTTCCCCCCACCTATGTCTCTTTCTACAATTTGATCTTCTCAAAGATGCCTCGAAACCTACGGTGTCCTTGAACCCGCCATGGAATAGAATATTGAAAGAGGATAATGTGACTCTTATATGTTATGAGAACAACTCCCTTGAAGTCAACTCCGCTGTGTGGACCCACAACAACATCAGCTTGGAAGAGACATCTTCACGTTTGAACATTGTGAAAGCCCAAATCCGGGACAGTGGGGAATACAGGTGTCAGAACAATGGATCCACCCCAAGTGAACCGAGTGAACCTGTGTACCTAAGAGTCTTTGCAGGTAACTTCCAGGACTATAGAAAAATGGATCCCCCTCTGTGAGGAATGGCCCATCCAAAGATGGGGAGAGATCAAGTTATTCCAGGGTTAGTGCACCGGGGTGGGACTCTGGTCTCTCACCCAAGACCGGCCCGTAGCTCTCCTTCCACCCTTCCTGCTGCCCAGCCTTGCCTTCGTTCTATGCTCTGGCCATCTCCCTCTCCCAGTGTTATCCCTCTACTCCACCTTATCTCTCTTCTGCTTGGGGCAGATGTATATGATATGTACAAATGGTAGGTTGGATATGTGGATGTTGCAAAGAGCTGAACATCTGAAATAGGATCAAAAGGTCTGATTGTAAAATTTGCTCGACAAATGTCCTCCATGCTATTCCTTATGTTCCACAAATAAGTGAAACCATATGATAATTGACCTTCTCTGCTTGACTTACTTCACTTAGCATAATCTCCTCCATGGAGGACATTAAGAGAAGGAAGGGAAAAATGAAGGGGGGGAAATCAGAGGGAGCGATGAACCATGAGAGACTATGGACCCTGAGAAATAAACTGAGGGTTTTAGAGGGGAGAGGGGTGGGGGGATGGGTTAGCCCGGTGATGGGTATTAAGGAGGGCACGTACTGCGTGGAGCCCTGGCTGTTATATGAAAACAATGAATCGTGGATCACTACATCAAAAACTAATGATGTACTGTATGGTGACTAACATAACATAATAAAATAAAATTTAAAAAAAAGGCCTAGTTAACCTAAAGAAGTTTCAGCCAAGAGATTAGAAACCCTGTAGCAAGTAAATCATGTGACCTGCTGGATCAGTGTTAGGTGGCTTGTTGAGGGTCAAATACTACAGTTAGCTCTGGGTTGCTTTGGCTTGAAGAACTTAAGATCTTTAAGATCTTATCTCCCCAGCATTGTGGATTATAAAAGATTTTTAAGATCTTTACCTTTAAGATACCTTTAAGATCTCCCCAGCATTGTGGATTATAAAAATATCATTCAAAAGGCATGTCTTGGCTCCTTAGTATGTTTTATGATACATGGAAGTGATATATTAACTGAAATTGCAAAACTGCCTATTTCCTACAATCCAGTTAAAAACTGTATTCATGTTACTAAAGTCACAATACCAAGTGTAATAACTTTCTTTAATGAATCACAAATAAAAGCCATAGGAAAATTTAAAAAAATTTGCTCAACAATTTCTATGCAGCACGACCTGGATATTAGGTTGCACTCTTGGTTTTGAAAGACATCCATGTAGATCCCTCACAGCCTTCGCTTTTGCTGAAGAACAAATCTTATGTTCGCTTCAACTTTGTGACTCTTCCACTGCCAATGATTAGCACAGCTCGCTTAGGCCCATGTGGTTAGTTAGAAAATGCTGGATGAACAAAGGAAGGATTTCATTTAAATGGCTAGGTCATGGATATATTTTACTTTATATTTTTTAATGTAAATATATTTAAGGTATAAGCATACTTTTTATTTTCCTCTTGAGTGAAAAGAGGTGTGGCAGCATCCATATGCAAATTCCAGATACAAAGTAAAGTAGCATGGAATAGCTTCTTTATTTCCTTGGAAGAGATTCCAGAAAACTCCTCCAGGACTGCTCTAAACTGTGCCTGCACAGCCTAGCCAGATTTCTGTCCAAAATTTTCCTTCAGTAAGTGGGTTTCAATTCTTACAATGACATTAGAGAACCTGACTCTTACATTTTACAGAATCATTGTTAACAAGTATTTGTTGAGTACCTACCCCCGAGGTAACGGTGTTGGGCATTGGGGGTATAATGTAAGGATCAGACATGGCCCCTGGCCTCCTGAAGTACAGAGCCAAATGAAGAAGAGGACATTAAGTGAGTAACTACGCACACATAATTAAAATTGGCATTCACGTTCTGGGGAAGTTTTGGAGCCAACTATGAGTAATGGTAGAAGTAGGGAGCCCCTAAGAGGCAAAAGAACAAAACAGACCTGCCCCTAGGTGAGGACTTCCTGGACAGGATAGTTTTATTCCCCTTTAGTGACCAGAACTGGTGCCGACGGAGCTGAAGGGACCCGCCTCCCCTCTAAAACCATCCATGGACGGGCTCAGCAGAAATGTCAGAGTGGTTTTCTGGCCCCCGACTCACTTTTCAGGAGGAGAGAGGATTTATCAATATAGAGGACAGACTCTAAGAATTATTTTGTGACATTATGAGCCAGGAAATGGGTTCATGATAAACCATGGTTTTTGACACATGCTCTGTGCATGACCACTTTTATTTTTGTCTCTCTCTGTGTCTATCTATCCGTTTGCCGTTACATAACCTAACGAATGCTCTTCAGAGTGGCTGCTCCTTCAAGCCTCTGCTGAGGTGCTGATGGAGGGTGAGTCCTTCCACATCAGGTGCCATAGTTGGAGGAATTCGAACATCTCAAAGGTGACCTACTACAGGAATGGCATAGCCCTCAAGTACAAGTATGATAACTTTGACATGCCCATTGCCAATGCCACAATAAGGGACAATGGCAGCTATTACTGCACGGCCTGGATTCAGAGGATAAATCACACCTCTGGCCCCCTCAACATTATTGTGAAAAAAGGTGAGTTGGTAAAGCAAGAGGGGTGCCCATAGCAGGGGAAGGGAGAGAGCAACCCCCCAGCCTGAAGTGGCTGCAGCATGTAGCAGGGGACAGCAGTGGTGCCTTGTGAGTCTGCTGGCCTGTGGGTGATACCTGTTCACATTGTGGGATTTCTATGAAGACTAAATGCGATATTGGGAAATGGATGTGTAGCCTGTTAAGTGCTACCCAAGCATGATGGATCACAATTCTTGGTTTGATCTCAAAGTCCTCTGTTGCTCCTGGGGAGAACACTTATATTTATCAAATTGAAAGGGAGTCTCAAAGTTAAAGGAACGAAGGCTGTAAGGAGCTTGAAGATGCCGTGCTGGCGGAGGAGAGCTGGGGAAGGAGATCCATGGGCCATGGGCTGAGTGCCCAAGTCAGGAGGAGACAGAGGCTCATGAAGAGAGCCGGGCTGGTAGGCTGCCTCCAGGGCCAAAGATACAGATGCTCCTTCTTAACTCCAGAGAAGAGAGGGAGCCTTTGGAATATCTGCCTTGCAAGAAGGAAATTAGATTTTTTTGCTTGGCAGATTTGGCTCATACTAATGTCTAAAAAAGCATGAGACCAGAAGCCAGAATTAAGCTTTAATGCCAATTTTCTGTTAACTAGTCTGAGACCTAAGTGCTATTTAATTGTCATTGGCCTTCTAGTATCCTTATTTGTAAAGTAAATGGTTTGGTCTAGATGCCACTTGGGGAATTTTAAAAATACTTACATTTGCATCTCATCTCCTGAGGTTCTGATTTAACTGGTTTGGAGGACTGGGCATCAGTATTTTTAAAAGCCCTTCCAGGTAACAGTCATGTGCAGCCAGTGCTGAGAGCTGCTAGTCTAGGTAATCTCTGTGGGAGGGGGTTTCTGGCTATAATAGTCTGGGGCTCTATAATTCTAGGATAATCACAAAAATCAGCACCTTGCGAACAGAATAACAGAATCACAAGAGAGGGGAATTGGAAGGCAGCTTAAAGAAGCTCTAGCCCAGTATCTTTGTTTCACCCAATAGGCAGGCGGTAAATGATGAATGATTCAGAAATGAGGCAGTGGTAACCCCCACCCCTGCCCTGTCTCCTGTCCACCCCCAAAATCATATGAGGGCACTGGTCCTGTGAGCTCCAAGAAAGGGGCCATCTTTCCTCTGACCTTTCCCCTTGGGCACATTGGCTAGAAGAGCTGTAGCCAGGGGTTATGGGGGAGATCTCAGGAGTCCCGGGGTTCCAGGAAGCATAGACAGAGGAAACTAAATCCATGGGTGTTGCTCTCTGGTCCTGGATGCCATGTCATGCTAGCGCTAGAAGACAGAGGACTGTGCTAGGTCCTTCTCTTAGGGAGGATGAAGTCCTGAGCCTCATTCATCAATTCCTCATATGACTTGTTTCTTGTTGCATCTAGATTCCTCCAACCGGAATAGTCACCGAAGCAAATACTCCTGGCTACAATTTCTGATCCCATTGTTGGTGGTGATTCTGTTTGCTATAGACACAGGACTGTTTATCTTGACCCAGCAACAGTTGACACTGCTCTTGGAGACTAAGAGGACCAGGAAGAGCAAAAAGCCAGACCCCAAAAAGAATTGATGTCACTGCTTAAGAAACATTAGCAATAGCAACTTCTTTCTGGCACCCACAATCCCTTCTCCATCATCAAACACAGCTCCCAATGTCATACAGGGAGGTCTGCACTCAAGGCTTTACAGAACTGCTTCATTAAACAACTCAAACTGATTAAGTAGCATGTAATAGTAAGTTCTCAATAAATATCAGTTACATAAATAAAAGAATGACTAGATTCATCTGTGAAAGAGAAGTACAATTTGAATAAAAGAGGTATGAAACCAGGTAACATGATGCTTCTGAGTATTTGAGGCTTGCTACTTTCTTTTTTGTTTCTAGAGGCAGGAACCTTGAAGTTCTAGACTAGAGTTGTCTTCTCTTAACCACTCTAAGTCTGGACTAGGACTACAAAGACATGGGGGGATGCTGGTGAGATTGACCATTTTTATGCTCACTTCAACATACCATTTATGAGCTTCTAGCTTTTGCTGAATCTGGGGCAATCTTGGGCCCTAGGGCTCTGAGGGGTGAGGCTCAGTCTAAGATTCCCCTGTGATTGTTTCTCCCTCTAACATCTCTCAAACTTGTATCTTGAATACCTTCTTACAGCAACTGAACTAAGCATCTTGGAGAAATCCCCCTCAAATAACTGCTGGAACTCTCAGCTCTGAAAACAGGGATCTCAGGCAAAGCAACCTTTGCTTTCCCACCCCCACCCCACCTTTGCCCATGGAGACAGTTATACACGGGCCTGGGGAAAGGGTTAGGGAAGAGAGGCAACCTGTTGTCAGTGCTGACCATGAGTTCACAACAGACAATGAGAGATCAGAATTATCTATAGCTTCACTATGTTTTAGAACAATTACTAACATAAGGAAGAAGTGAATCCAGGGGGAAATTTGTAAATACCCATGAGACTGAGAAGTCAGTCCCATTTTCTCCAAAAGATGTTTTTGGACCACAAAGCAGAGAGAATTATTGGAGCTTTTTTTTTTCCTTTTTTAATATAGATATCTGGTATGAATCTCCTTAACACTCTCTAGTTGTTTTTTGTTTTGTTTTGTTTTCCAAATCATTTCAGAGAGGTAAGAAATGACCAGATTCCCAGTGAACAGCCTGGTCACTTGGTTTCACATAAACAGGCCTGGTGAGTGGAGAAGAGATTTTTCCTGCAATAACAGGACAGGAAAAGTCCCCACAGGAGGGTCCTTGGTGTTGCTCTGGACACTGCCCCCTGCCTTTAAGGGAAGACAGAAGATCCATGAGACCTTGAGACCATGGTCTTGCCACCACCTTCACTAACAACATCTTGCTTCACAGCGTCCTAGACATGGCGTCATACACATCAGACCAGAGAGCAAGCGACTTACTCCTTTGTTGAGTCTAAGGCCAAATGACCCAGAGTGAAGAGTTGAGAGATATTTAACATGGATAGGAAGTCCAGACTTGATCAGCTTGAGATACAACTTCTGAGAGGTCTTCTAGGTTCTGGTATATCACAGTTCACCTCCACCTCCCCTTCATCCCCACCCAAGCTTGCAAGGGCTCTGCAGAGAGCACGAACCTGGATCTTTAGGCCCCTGTGAACTAGCTGTGTGACTGGAGAAAGTCACTTGCTGGTGTCTGAGATTCCATTTCTTTGCAAAAAGAGCAGTTTGGACTAGGCGGCCTCTAAGCTTCCTTGAGCCCAGACGTCCTGCCCTTGGTGACTTGAAAGCCTACTTCCCATGAGGTGACTACACAGGCTCAGAGGCTCAGAATGCATCCCCAAGAAGCTCTGGGGTGAATTCTACCTTCATCCTCCACACATTGTCTTCACTGTGCTCTTCCATGGGATCTGAATCTCAGATTTGTCTGAGACTTCGTCTACCATTCATTTCTACCCGTTTTCTTCCTTCCCATACATCGCTTCTTTCATAAGGAATGTGGAACAGAATCAGGGCTTAAATATTTTGTGGAGCTCTAAAATACTGCATTTAAAAAGATATGTTTTTATTTTTATATACATAAAATACTTTGTCTATGCCAGAGAGGGAGTAAGTACGTTATACCAGTGATTGAAATGGAGATAATCCATCCCTGCTTCACTCTTAGTGCCTCTTCTGCTACCTCCAATCTCTTACCACATTGGTCTAGGCCAGTTCACAGAGCAAATTTTCTTTCCCACAGTTGCTGTTCCAAAATGGCTGCCACAAATCATCATGAATTCCCAACATTAGAGATTGGTTTTTTGAAAATCAACTCAGTTAACTCCCTACTGGTGGCCAGAGAAACACAAATTCCCTTGGTTACCTCGAGCATGCAAACTCAGACAAAAGATCCACCTTGTCAGTATGTTGGGGAATTGAGTGCTTGAAGAAAAGTTCTGCTCTTTTTCTCTTCTCATGAAATGGGAAGTGACACAACAGGATCATCTCCTTGACCCCAGAGATGGGAGATTTATGTTAAGAATGGCAGAGGCACCTGCCAGCCTGGGCTCCTAGATAACCTCGAAGAGTGGTCCTGTCTTCCTGCCTTAAGTTGTCTGCCCAGCTCTGGACAGTTACTCACCAAGCTCAAGTCCCCACCTGGTGCTTCATCAACCTTCATAGCATTCCCATCCCCAAACCTTTTACCTACAACTGTGCCCAGGATCACTATCAAGTTAGCTTGTACACATCACTTGTAGCATCCACACTCTTTCCCTTCCTGAAAAGTGGAATGACAGATCCTCACATTTAGCCTTCCCCATATTTGAAATTTTAAAAATATCACTGAGTGTGGTCAGCAATCTCACTGCACGGTAATTGAATGGAAATCCAGGGCTGCAATGCAACTGAAAATTGCTCACAGAAAAAATTCTGAAGATAAAGGAATGACTTCTTGTGGATTCTGAGAAAAGTTACAATTTTTTATTTTTTTTCACCAGTTTCCAAGAAGATAATACTGTACTACTACCAACTAAATGGAGCCACAGGAAATATACTTCAATTAATAGGTTGAATTTTTTTTAAATTGAAATATAGGAGCCACTGGCCTTCAGCCCTCACTAGAATATGTCAAGGCTAAAAATCTGGGTTCTCCGCTTGCCAAGTGCTGTTCTAGAAATGGGATCCTAAAACACTACAGATTAGGATCCTCAGAAAACAGATTCTGAAACAGACCGAAATGTGACAGGGTTCTTAGTGAGTGGCCTCAGCACCAACACCTGTGTGAGAGTGAAGGCAGTGGACCCCCGCAAAGGGAGAAGCTGAAATGCAATGTAGTCACAGCAAACATCAAACCATTTCACAGACAGAGCCCTGGAGCTGGGATGGCCCTTTGTAATCACCTTAGATTGAAGTCTAGGGGCCGGTCTTCACACCCTGAAGTAGATAAGTCTTTGGAGGCAGGGTGCCTCCAAAGGGAAGAAGTGTGACTGGGAAGATGTGTGACTCTGGAGAAAGTAGCTCTTCAGCAAGAACAATTTCCAAAGAGTCACTCAACTGACCACTGTTGGCCCAACTCCCTCCCAGCAGCTTGGGGGAATGAAAGTGTGGGTCCTGAAGGTGTGCCATCTGAGTAGGGTAGCACAGAACCCACTGAGTACAACTGCACTAGAAGAGAGTGAAGCCCCGGCCGTCAGACCTCTACTTAACAGCTTTTTATCTGGATTAAGCAGAATCACTAAGCCCAGAATTTTTTATAATTTCAACTATTCTCACAGCAATGCACTGGTACTATCATTTCTAGAAATATGGACATGGAGGCAAAGGTATCTTTGGTCTCCAGGTCACCTTCACACACTAATGTTCTTTGCAAAGTCAGACATGTTAACTGGACTCAGAGACTTTGTTAATTTGCACTGCCTTGTCCCATCCCCCGGAACCAGCAGACCTCAGGACACTCTCACAAGTGATACCTTGCCTGTGCAGGGTCACCCCATGGCATCAGCTCAATTGCAGGGACCATAAGAGCTGTGTCTGGAACTCAGGTTATGTATGCTCATTCCTTAGTGTAGAAGGCCAGAGTGGAGCAGAAGGATGAGGGAGAAAGGACTCACCCAGAGCACACATGTTCACCTTCTGTGATGCTCAGACAGGAATGCTGTTTTTAAGTCAGTTTTTAAGTTGGGAGTATCTCAGAAGAAACTTCTGAAGATTAACCTCTGCAGACTTAGGAGCTTACCAGAAAATTTTTTATTTAAGTCAAGCTTCAAACTTCTGCTCATTAATAAGTGTTTTCAGAAGTTGTAGTTAAAGTGCTCACATTCTTAACAACGTATCAGAGAGTTTAGGTCTACCCAGCAAAAGAACTATGCTTTGCTTGGCTCCTTCCAGCTTCTGTGTTTTTCACTCCCAGGTTGGAAACATGGAAGGTGTTGAACTTTTCATCACGTTCCCCTTTACATCTGGTGTTTTCTCACCTAGCCATCTCCAAACAGTGGACGACCCACCTCTGTGCTCTCGGTAGCTGATGACTTTTTGCTTTCTCACATTTGCACCGTTCATTCCAAGGAATGGCCAGGTAGGGCAGTTCTACCACTTGGAAAGTGTGTACCTAACCTCCTGAAGATTCCTCAGGCTGTTTTGGGATATTAGCAATTAGCAAAAACAGATTACATGAAAGTCCTCAATGTCCACAGAAGAGAATATGCATGTGTCTCCTCACTTGTTAAAAAGTTTGCACAAACTACTCTATATCCCTACCAACAACAGTGAGTCTTTCTCAGGTGGCTTCCAAATACTTTGTTCATGGGCTTTTTAGAATGCTGCTGGTTTTCTGTCTCAATGGAGTTGTATAGCTGTGTACACACATGTGTGACAGGACACAGTGGGGAGTGACACAGGCAGGTAAATCTTTCCACTCTAGTCTTGAGAATTTGCTAAGCCATTTTTTTAAAGATTTATTTATTTATTTGTCAGAGAGAGAATGAGCAGGGGGAGGGGAGAGGGGCAGAGGGAGAGGGACAGGCAGACTCCCTGCTGAGCGTGGAGCTGGACGTTAGGCTCAATCCCAGGACCCTGGGATCATGACCTGAGCAGAAGGCAGATGCTTAACTGACT